CGAGGTTCTCCAAGAGGGATTTCAGTCTTTTTAATTGGTGCAGTTGCGATCGACAGTTAAATGGCATCACTGTTTACACATTTCAATTTTTTAAATGCGATAGTCATTCTTATAGACTAGCTAATATATATTGGGTTGTCCGGAAAGTCAATGCCGATTTTTGATAGGTGGTGCAGGTCTGAATATGTCGAAATGACTGAAAACAAATAACATATATGTGTACATCCCTTAAAATGTGGAAAGATTGTGGAACAAAATAGTACTTACATAATTCAATAAATATACATATAAATAAATGTATATTACAATTCAAATATGCCTTTGAAGTTTTCTTAAAAATTGGCACGAACTTTCTGGACAACCTAATATTTATATATTTGTTCATACACTTTGTATATTTTAAACACTCTTTAAAATATATGAAGTTATACTTGAGCTATATTTAAATTTAAAAAAAAAAAGAAAAAATTAATATTTTGTGTCTTATTGATAGAAAAAATTTGTAAGTCTCCCTTTGGAAAGCTTTTTGTTGTAAATGGGACCAACAAAAAGCTTGAAACTCCACCAACATTTCTTCTCCAATTTTCTTCATTTATTATTGCCTCAATAATTCTGGCTCGTTTCGAAAATGTAATCGTTTTCTTCTTACTCGTTGTCTTTCGCAGTTTTTTGATCATTTTAGAAAATATCGAAAAGAGAAACTTCGGATTGTTCGTCGTTCCCAGAGATTGTTCACGGATCGGTTATGCAGCTGTTGCGTTAGGCACATTCGTGTCATCCGTGGCTCCTTTGAGCTTCTGCTGGCTCATCCTTTTTCTTATCCGTGTTCCCTCGTTATTATCGCGGTCTGCGGCCGTCTTGGGAAGAAAGTCTTCCGTGTCGAGCACATGTCATCAACCATCGTGTCTGTCACGCGCGATTTGCGGGAAAGAGACGCGAATCTGACAACCGTTGCTAAGAAGTTTCGAGTAAATTTCCGTATCGGAGACAAAGGAATTTTTTAAATTGCAACCTCGCGAGAATACTTCACTGTCGCGTTTGAGATGTCCATCGAGTCCCTCCGTCCATGGTCTATCGCGTTTACGGTCACGGGTAACGAGTGATGAATTGCTCTTTGTAAACTGTGCAACTTCTTCGGTATTGTCGCTAATTGGTAACGGTAGATCGATGACTGGCGCTATTTTGCAATGATGAATTGTGGTTGAATCGTGGATGAATTTTTTGTCTGGTTTGAACCGTCAGGGAAACTCGAATTTAATATTTATGAATGAAATATGAGGAGTAATGAAGAAAGCAATAGTTAGTTTGACGAGTAGTGTCGTTAAATCGTGTGCTTTTTTTTGGTATATAAATTAAACTTAATAATATAATATTCTAATGAATTAAAATTGAAATTTGACGTGCCTGTTAAAATAATGGAATTAACAGGTTGATCGACAGTGCTTTTCACTGAACAACGAAAACTATTAATTCTGAAAGTTAAGTGTCATAGAAAATGAATTTAAATGAAATACTTGAATTTTGATGAAGTTACAGAACTAAATACCAAAAAATGAATGTTTCATTACGCAGTTTCCAAGAGTCTGTAAACAAAATTAAATCGAAGTAGAAATTTTCAAGAGTATTAGTCTGGCAGTGAACGTGTTAATAGCTGGATGAACTAGAGAAGATTGATGAAGAATAGAACAGTGTCGGTGCTTTTGTTCTTTTACAGACGCAGGCAAACCTATTACACGCGCGGTGACATCTTTTTTTAGGAGTTGACTTGAGAACCTTCCAACCATGCCGAGAAATATAAGCCCGTTTTAACCCTCAACCCGTAGGGTAAGGTCGAAATGGCTCACGCTGTTCTGTCAAAGGATTGTATCTGATTATTTATAGCTTTGTGAAACTTTGAAACTTCACGCACTTTGCTCTAGGTCTGCTCTTGAACTTTAGAACGTAAATAGATGAATTGCTGGAAGCAACGTGCAAAGTTGATACTTTAGTGGCGTTGTTTACACTGAAAATTAAATATGAAGAGGCAATCTTTATTTGGCTTGATGTTATGACATTTTAAAGTTAGTATGCAGTTGCTGTACATTATTGAATAATTATTTAGTATATGGTGTTTTGATACTATACTGTTGCTGACTTTAGAGTGTCATATTCTGAATAATCAAATTATTAAAGACGTCAAGGAAAGAATAAGATTTATTTTTTTTTCAACTTTGTTTGGAGTAACAAAAAATGTTAGATGATTTGTGTAAAATAAAGTATTCGAAAGTCCTTTTTGGAGAGAGATCCTGGCCCACTGCTGTCAATTTTAGATCGAAAAGAATAGAATTGCCGAGCTGAGATTCGAATCCAGATCAGTTAGCTCGCTAGGCGACTGCTCCAACCAATTAAGGCCACTCTCGTCGTCAACGAATTGTTTCTCCCTAACCGCCCTATCACGAATCGCTGTGGTCTAGGATTCCAGTGTTAAATTGAAGGAATTTATAGTACCGCTTATGATTTCACTCGCTATTTCGTCTTTTTCTGTTATAAATTGCCCAGCTAACATCAAACTTATAGCTAATCGACTTAGCTTACGACGAATAACGTGATTATTGTTTCTATCAAAATAAAGCTCGTACTAAACATTTTTAATTTTAGAAGACCACCCTCGTAGTAAATGTAGATCATTTTTATTTATAGCCGTATGCTATTTATAGCATTTATTTATTTATATATACTATGTATAGCCTTCGCTATGGATGAGAACTTTTCACCGAGGAATTAAATAAATTCATTCTGAAGATGAGATATTCAAGAATATAAATCGATAAGAAATTTCAAAAATAAATACTAGTTTAAATTCACGAAAAGTATGTTTCAGTTGTATAGAAACAAAGTGGCAGGTTCGCATAAATTTTCACGAGCAGTTTGCCAGCCAACGTAATATATACTCACAATGAAAAATTTATTTCGGAACATTACTTTCTATCATTTAATTTAGTCAAACTTCTTCGATAGACATAAAGTACGAAAATACGAGGGTCGTTCAGAAAGTAAGTTTGACGGTTTAATTACGCTGTGAAAGAATGGTCAAAACACAAAAACAAGGTCATTTTTAAAATTTTCAGACAATTTTTTATTTTTCTACGTAATCCCCACATCTCTCGATACATTTCGTATAACGAGTAACAAGCTTTTGAATTCCCAAGGCGTAATGATTTTCCGTCCACTTTGCGTCCGCTGGTCGTCGTTCGTGCTCTTCATCGTGCAACTCTTCGCAGCCATTTAGGAACGCTGTTCGCCAACGCGTAACCATCTGCAGGCTCACGCATTTATCGCCGTAAACGGAACATAATTCTCGATAAATTTCTGTGGCTGTGAATTTTTTAGCGGCAAAAAAACGTATTATACTACGCGGTTCACACTTGGACGCAAATTTTAACGGAATCGCCATGATAAAATGTTACAAAACACGCGACAATCAACCTACCAGAGTCTACGACACACGAAACTGATCAAAATAAATGAGAGAACATGTTCCTAAAATTTTGTAGTTCTACCTTCTCACCAAGACCAGCGTTAACATCGTTGACACGTTGACTGCCAAACAAATATTCTTTAAAGTTTCTACTAAAATGAAATATTATTTAAACTATCGGAGACTGCATAATCAAACATTTATCGTCGTATTTATTCTCGTAATTTCATCAAAATCCATGAATTTGGTTTAAATTCATTTCCTTTGATGCTTGACATTCGAAATTAATTTCGTTAGTTCTTCAGTGGAAAGCACTGTCACCCACATGTGGGTGACATGGCGATCAACGTGTTAAACTTAATTTCTGAACGACCCTCGTATTTATGGGACTGACTGTATCATGAGTTCGAGTCCTGGTCCAGCGGTCCGATCAGCCTTTCCTTCCGACGTTATCGCGGCCGTATCAGTGATTGGTACAAGCTGAGGGTATCAACTCGACGGGGGCGTGTCGGTCGCATGTCATCAATCATCAACGTGCGTGGCACGCGAAAACGGGAGGAAGCCGCAGATGTCGGTGCACTCGTCATTAACGCTCGAGCTCTTGCCTTCTCGGCGTCTCCAACGAGACACTTTAACCCTAGCGCGTGTGCAAAGTGCGTGCACGTGCACCATTATGGCCCACCATTGGTGTACCGTGCTGGACAATTACATAACGTTGGCATATAGAACACACATGCAAGCAAAATTTATTAAACGCTCTACTTAAAAGGAGAAGTCTACTTCGAATAATTCGAAAGTGCATATTTGAGAATTTTTTCAGGGGCGAACGAAAAATTTCCTGGGGATGAGTTTAACACGTTGGTCCGTCACGTCACCAAGAAATAGGTGACAGGACTTTCCATTAAGGAACGAAAAATATTAATTTTAAAGGTGAGACAATGATGAAAATGAATCTGGACAGGATTCGTGAATTTGACAACGTTAAAAAATGAAATACTGCGACAGATATTAAATTGTTTGATGTTCAATTGTATGGAGACAACATTTTAACTTTATATTGGGTTGTCCGGAAAGTTCGTGCCTATTTTTAAGAAAAATTCAAAGGCATATTTGAATTTTGATGTATATTTATTGAATTATATATGTACCATTTTGTTCCACTACTTTTCCACCTTTTAAGGAATGTATACATGTTATTTGTTTTCAGCCATTCCGACATATTTAGACCTATGCCGGCTACTAAAAATCGGCATGGACTTTCCAGACAGCCCAATAGAAATTTTAATGAGTTTTAGCTTGGCAGCCAACGTGTTATTAAGGGTATTCGAGAGAAGGTTTTTCGATGCATGTGTCCCAATTTTTGTATTTAAAAATATCTTAAATTTACAAAGTTGTGGGTTTATTATTGTTTACTTGAGTATTCGAAATTCGAAACACAAGCATTTTTTAATAATACATTAAATTATGCAGAAGTAGTCTGTAGGAACTAGAATAGTAGAATGTTCTCGTCTCGAAGGAACTTCATCTAGCGTAGCACACTTGCAATTAGGATCGTTGCTTTAATTACTTAATTAATGCTGGTTACATTAGGATTTACATTACCAAAGGTGTAATCATTATAGGCTCTAATTGCCATAGGGGAGCTGGTGAATTATGGTTATACACTTCGGGTTACACAGAATCATTCTTGCGTTCTAGTAAATAGATTTAAATAATAAAATTCATAACTGCATTTATTGTTAATTCTTGAGAAAATTGTAAATAGAAATGTTGTAGTTAGAGAAATTCATATTAGGAATACATGCACCTTTTGTGTGAAAATTTTATTTTCAAGGTTCAAAAGTACCTAAACAATAATGATTAAATAACATAATATATATAATATAATAGTACACTAAGTTAAATTTATTTCTCGCTTGGAAATCGAACAAAAATAATACTTGACCTTTACGCTGACACCACGGAGCCTATAAACATGTATTTTTTTTTCGTTTTGGTCATACAATAAAGTACTATATGAACCATCATTCATAATGTCAGTCTAAATTTATAGTCTCCAAGATGTGTTATTCGCGTTTATGGGCCATCAAACGATGTCTAGTAAACATTTCATAATTTTGCATACGATCATATTTACTATCAATATTTTCCATACACATGCATATGTATTTCAACATAGTCAATATTGTTATTCTTATTCAAACTCTCTGCATTTATGTTTATAATTTCAAGTTTAAACCAATCCTTTATATAAAGAAAATTCAAAGAAAAAAACATTTATACTAGTACCACTATTGAATTGCGAACTAATCAATTGTAATTTTTTTTTCTTTTTCTTTTTTTTTTAATAAGCTTAACGTCCCATCAACATCATGGGTTATTAGCGACTTATAGAAACAGTACAGAGTTATTACATTTTGTTAAATAACTCAATAGTCTTGCAGAATTCTACTGAGGTGTCCAGGTATATGAAAGAATAGTTAGCTTCACTGATACTATTGTGGATGTTTAACTTCCTCCTGATTTCGTTGTATTTGGGGCAGACAAGGATGATATGGTTAATAGTGACTTGGGTGTTACATTCGTCACAATTAAATGATTGGCTTCTGTCGAATAGGTATGAGTGAGTAAACTTGCTGTGGCCACTTCTGATTCGTGTTTTTGCCATTTGCTGCCTTCGGTTGAATTTTGGATTCGTTTGTAAATCAAAAAAACTTTCTATAGCTTTATGAACTGTGCTAGCTCTATATGTTCTCTATTTTGCAGTCCAAGACTGCCTTAATAATGTTTCTAGGTGTTTAACGATTTTAGCCTAATGAATTCCAATTCCAATTGATCGATAGTCTATTTCAACTAACAGTTGATCCAATTGTTAATGCAATTTCTTCTTTCCGTCTTTCTGCGCAAAGTATCCAACTTCCTTAAATATATAAATTAGGATAACTGGATTCCAAATGCTTAAGAGTTCGTAACGCATTTAAGTAGGATATTTTCATAATGAATTATTCACGAGGTCCTTGCACACACCAGGAAAGGATCATCCTCGTCGCCGAGAAGATTCTTACGCGCAGCTAGCTTGTCCTTCGTTTATTCCTGGCGACTAACTAATCTCGTTACTTTCGTTCATCGGCGCGGAAACATTTTTCTCCGTTATAAGTCGGTTCCAGAGAGCTACGTAGAAAAATATTGTTAATCAGCATGAAAGGCTCCACGCCTGCTGGAATTTCATTTCGATACCCGTCTCCTATCGTTCATCGGATCAAACGTATCGCCGTAAATCATTTCCAATCGTCGCGCGAAAAACTGTCGATTCCATTTACCTTTTTTTTTTTTATATTAGATACTGGAGTTCGTGTAGATTTATATTGGAAGCTTCGCTGCGCAATAATTTCGCATTTTAGAGACATTTAAACGTATGGAGCAATTAAGTTACATTGTAAGGATAGGACAATTATTTTGTTTTATATGCTGGAATATTATGTGAAATATTATTTATGTTTCCTTTTCTATATACTCTGTTTTTAATGATTTTCTGTGCACAATAATTTTACATTTTAGAGGCATTGAAACGTATGGAGCAATTACAATGGTCCATTGAGACTGAGTGCTCGGACTGGCTACCTAATTCGCATACACACACATGCACACATGGAGCAATTAAATTACATTGTAAGGATAGGACAATTATTTTGTTTTACATGTTGGAATATTATGTGAAATGTTATTTATGTCTTCTTTTCTGTGTACTCTGTTTTGATCGACTTTGTACACTTTTATGAATTGCAACACAAATTTAATGTACTGTTAATATTTATATGTTTCAAAGAATTTTATTAAGTATTATTGAAATGTACTATTCTTTGCGTGCTTCACTTTTATCGATTTTTAGAAAGGTGAGTGATTTGCTCGTACACTACTCTTTTAAATGGCCAATTCAATTGTAAATATTTTCTGCTCGTCATTTCCGGTAATTTGCCGCCACAACAGGATGCGTTGAATGGCTACCCGGAAATTAAGAGAAACTATCGACGAAGCTAACTTTAGTCGTAATATTTCACGTGAGTTTCGAAATAGGCACTGCACCTCGATTCACGAGTGAAATTTTTCTGAATTTTTTTTCTATTCCAATTCGAGTTTGAGCCAATTTTATATATTTAACTTTTGTAGTTAACTCGAAATTTATTCAGAACTTCTGTTCATCGAAAATATAATTTCATTTTATAATAGCAATTTCTATCGATCGAATAACGAACCAAACCGAGTTTACATTTCACTCGTTATTTATTAAAAGCTTTGTAATAATTCATTGGATAATTCATTGAGTAATATTTGAATGTAATTCAGATTGCAATTTCTATCTAACGAGTAAACATTTCGCACGTGCCATTCCCACCCAGATGAACATTTCTCAACTCCGTAAAATCTTGCTGAATATTTCCTCGCACAATCGCATATAATATACACATTGATTGCGGATGAATGCCACCAAGATTTCTGTGGAGAATAAGTCGATTCATCGCATGAGTTGCTACCACATACAATTTATTCCAAACCAATTTTCCATCGAGATCAGCATGCTACATCTCGCCAGTAGCGAAGCAGATGGGGTATTCAAAGATCGTTCGAAAGAATAAGAGAAAATGGATAAAATACACTGTGACTCGTGGAAGGATTTTAACATATTTGGCCTAGGTGCAGATTTTCTTTAACATTTTTTTACGTGTATTTTATATCGCAAATATTATAAAATGAACTTTATTTTAATTATATTTTTTTACAATATTCTATACTGTGTTCATTTTGTAGCTTCTTTTACATTCGAATTCCCTATGAATGATCGCCACATCACCAATATTATAGATGACAGTTAGTTTAGGTAATAGAAGAACTAAAAAAATTAATTCTGAAAGTTAAGCGTCAAAGAAAATGAACTTGAATGAAATACTTGAATCTCAATGAAATCGGCGCTAGAAACATTGAGACCGTGTTGTCGCATGCGATAACTCACGTTAAGATGTGTTTCGCGGGGTGCATTGAAAGGATGGTCGACCGTTTTTTACTTGAAGCTCGATGCAATTACAAAAATACGCCATGAATGTTTCATTATGTAGTTTCCAATAGTCTGTAAACAAATCGTGTTGTCGCATACGATAACTCAGGTTAAGATGTGTTTCGCGGGGTGCATTGAAAGGATGGTCGACCGTTTTTTACTTGAATCTCGATGCAATTACAAAAATACACCATGAATGTTTCATTATGTAGTTTCCAATAGTTCGTAAACAAACATTAATCAATGTAGAAATGTTCAAGAGTATTAGTCTGGCAACCATCGTGTTAAAACTTGAAAAAAAAGAAAGAAAGAATGAAATTACTCGTGAATGAAATGTTCAAGAGTATTAGTCTGGCAACCATCGTGTTAAAACTTGAAAAAAAAGAAAGAAAGAATGAAATTACCCCTATGGCTATTGTTCGGCGGCCAGCAAAGGTGCAAACGGTTAACGAGCCTCGTGTCGGGGCACGTGGCCTAACCCTGTCAGTCAGGCTCGGTATCCGTTTACAGGAAGCGGGCTATTTACCGTTTTTACTCGAGTGTCACTTACAGCCGTCTGGTTTCCTCGTCACGTGCCACAGGGAAGCGGAAGAGCGCGGTGGAGCTGCTCCAGGAGACGAAGGCGTTCTACGTGAAGAGCGAGACCGTCCTGGACCGGAAGCAGGAGTTGAAGAACAGCGGGCATCTTCAGGTATCCCAGCTGAGCGCTCCTGGCGCGCCACCCAGGCTGCTGAGAAAATGCGGCACCGCTTCCATGTGCTCCATGCAACCGACGTCGCCGTCGCAACTGCCACCTGCCACGCTGACGCCGCCCTGTTGCTGGGCGTCGTGCCACGAACAGGACAGGCGTAAGTCTCATCGTGAAAGTATCGTAGTACACCTTCGCGGCGCGTATAATCGATTTAACTCCGGGCATTTAAGAGTCGAGAACCGCGCCACCTTTTCCGTTCTATTGCCACGGGCAACTTGCCACGGGCCTGGATAGCTCCAAGTGGCCGTCTAAGTATACTTTGGAAAGCTCCGTAGAAACGCTTCCTCGTAGATATAGGTGTTCGAAGACGAGTAGCCGCTTTGGGTATCGCGTTTACCAGTCGCTTTGCTGGAAAGTATTGCTTTGATTTTGTTCTTTTGGGGGATGAAGGCACCTGACTCGAACGCCAGCTTTGGAGGGGGAGGAAGTATTGCTTGGGATCTTTATGAAATTATGGATTGGTCTCTCGAGTAACAGAAGGCAAGTGCCATTGACAGAATTGTGTGGCACCAGAAGTCTCTAACAATTTTCATATTTTTCTTTAGTTAACACGTTGATCACCATATATAGGTGTTAGTTAGACATCACAGGAAATGAATCTAAATGAAGTTCTTGAATTTTGATGTAATTACAAAACTAAATATACCACGATAAATGTTTCGTTACCTAGACTCCGGTAGTTTAAATAATATTTAATCTTAGCAGAAATTTTCCAGAATTATTCGTTTGGCAGTCAACGTGTTAACGAGTGAGAGGAGGAATTTGTTTTTTTATAAAATGATAATTTGTAACCTCAGAAGTGAAACAGTTCAACAATCATATTTTTCCAGATCATATAGTTTAGACACCTTTAGTCAACACTGCATCTGTTAGGTTGTCCCAAAAGTTTCTTTCGCTTTATTAATAAGTAATACATGCACAATAGTTTATGTTTTATGTTACATTACTGAATTGTCCACGATTCATTTTGCTCAATTACTGTTACAACATGAATATCTACGTAATTAGATTGTCAATTTATATAAACACGATCACGTAAAATAATTGAGTGCAACTCGCGAAAGAAACTTTCGGGACAATCTAATAATAATCCTGTAAGAAGTACCTCTCATCCAAAGGCCCTGGAAACTTTATTTATCCTCAACCACAACATCTAAATTCCCCTCAAAATAAAAATCAAATCTCATTAAAAACAACAAGTAATTCTCCCCTCGCACCCTCAGCATAAATCACAACAAAAATGTAAAATGTCGAATTGCCTTTCCATCCCCTTTAAAAATATATGAACTACACAAGAACTAAATTTACCACTCCAAGAGGGGGTTAATTCCCCCCCTTTCAGTTCCTCCTGAAAAGCACTTGTCCACGCTGTGACCTTTCCTCCGTTAATGAAAAGGCTCGCGAACGACTCGTATTCCGACTGCTTGAGGTTTTTACGATACCAGATGCTTTCCACGGATTAAATGATCGTACGTTTTCACTTAATCCTTTGCGGTCAACGGCTGCGGTATTCCCGGCAGCATACTTCAGCCGTTTCGGTCGCGCGTCAGGAAACGATCGGCTCGTTTACTGTCAGCGGTTTTGTTTAGCACAGATGTAGAATCCGTTGCGCGGAGTCTCTGGGTCGGAAAGGACATTGTGCTTATCCCTTTCTACGGCTAGATAACATTCAGGAATTCAAAGCAGACGGGAGCCGAAGATCTAGGCGATACCGGCTAATGGAAAAAAAAAAGTTTTTCTTCTTTTGTCGGATGAGAACTAATCATAACTTTTCGTTTCGTACGTTGACGTGGGAAATATATCTGGTAAGAGAAATACAGAAATGAACGTTCCCCTAGGGCGATTTATTTATCATTTACTACGAGTTCGTATCAGTTGTCGTTCACCTATTTAAATGGATACGCGAAATGTGAATTGAAGTGTTAGGGAAAATGTAATCATCCTCTGTTTGTACAGTTTTTTTTCTCATATAAAAAGAATATTAAATGTGAAGTTTGGATTATAATATTTGCAGAGTAGAATAAATTTCTATTCAGGTTCAATTTTTCGAAGTACGTTTGCAAACATTTTATTTCGCACTTTATCTTCAGAGACACGAAGCTTTGCGCTTCTTCTTTTCCTTTTTATACCTTCGACAAGTTTGGAAATCACTGGCTTATCGGTTGACCGGCCGCTTGTTTATTTATGTTGGCATCCGGGTCCCTCGCGTATTTTCTTCCCACTGCAAAGTAATTTCAACCAATGCGATATACGATACCCCGCGTCCGTTCGTGTTACTTCCAAAAGATCGATTCGATCGGCCAGGGTGTTTCGACACCACGACGCAGAGCAAGGGTTAACTTGATCGTAATTATCACTTCCGCGATCGACGACGCGGTTAATGTATTATTAGAGTTGCTGGGCGTTGACGTAACGCCGCGTTTTCCTTTAATATGTAATCTTCGTTTTCTATCGTAACCTAATCTCGGTAATGTCAGTCGCCACGCCGCGTGAATTACGGTTGCGCAACCCAGGTATCCCTCTTTATTCGACGATCTTCTTCTCGAATGAATGAAACTGGCAATAAACATCGAAACTTCATCTTTTACGCATTTTTTGGATTTCTTTCGAAGAGACGTGAGATACAGTTTTAAGTAATTTCAGTTTTTATTTGTAGTTTAATGTTTAAAATTGCCAAGAGACGTGGTTTTTTAACTGTTTGGAACGGTGTACTTAGAAACATGCACTTGGGTCTTCATTACCATAAGTAGACAATCTTGTATCATAATTATTGTTTAACCTGCGCCTGCACCTACACGAATAATATTAGGGTTATCGTACAAAACAGCGACTCGTTGAACCTTACCCTTTCATCTTGCCTTGTCTAAGATTAAGGTAGCTCAGAAGATGACGCGTATTCCAGTCACTTCGTTCTCTGGTTATTTTTAAACCTACTATCGAATCGAGACATTTGTATTAATAGATTAGTACACTGTTGGGACAGCTCTCCTCGATAACGAAAATATTTTCATCCTTCTGCGTTTTGGAACGAGTCCCCAAAAGCCAAAGCGAAGCTTCCACTTTCTTCCGCTACTTAAAATGCTACCCTTTTGTCTCGCCACATCTTTCTCCTTTCCTTCGAGGGCTCATTCATCGCCATCAACTCCCATTCAAGGGCCACGGTTTGAAAAACGTTACTCTCATACCTCCATACGTTTGCACTCGTACATTCTTCCTCGTCATGGCGAATAAACTCGTTGAGTAATAATAAAAATAATGAAAAAGAGCAAGAATAATTACCACCATTCATTGTCTCGGTATGTTAGACGGTCACGGGAGCGTGAACAAACTAAGAGAAGGTTCAAACATTGAAGCCTAATTCGTTTATTACAAAAAGACACTCCATGAATAGAATTTTATTTAGAATTTTAAATTGGAGAATGAACGCATCTTTATTCGTTTAACGGCCGAGCGACCGACGAAGGACTGCGTCGAATAACGAAAGGAGGTTTCTAAAGCACGTTTCGGTTTTGTTAAACAGCAGACGGCATTCTGAATCCTCAACAAACACTGCCACCCGCGCTGCCACCGAAGAGTCCACGGTTGGTTCCCGTTCCGCAGCGGCGCACGATTTCAGGGCCACCGAGCAGTACTGGTGGAGATCAGCTGCAGACGAAATTACGTCGACTGCTAAACACCGACAGCAAGGAGAATGTCTTTTTCCCCGAGAACCCGTCGCAAGTGGTCATTCAAGCGAACGGCGTTCCTCGGGAGGAGAAATTCCGCTACTCGCCTGGGAGCTTGTCGCCCAATTTCCGCGACGAGGATCGAGGAAAGGTGAAACGTCACTAGAAGTCGTTTAAAGCGATGATTTACCATTTGAACGATACGAATATCGTATAGATAGGCGTAGAAATGAATTCTGTGTCTTTATTGTCAATCGTTTATAACTCTTGTATTAACCTTTTTCAAAATGAATGTCTCCCCAATTTGTTTATCCCCTATTCTTTTAATTCGCTTCATTAAACGCGACGCTCGCATAAATTTTACTTAGCGATTTAACGCAGACGAGGAATTGTGTAACTCGGTTTCACTTTTCTAATTTATTACAATCGCGACCGTATTAAGCACGTTTTGCCTACGTGAATATGCGTGTAAATAACTACTGGCAATGAATTGTAACCGTGGTAGCGCTACGGGGAGGAAACGCAGTCGGTAACCGGAAGCTGTACATACACGTGTTCGTGAGTTTAACACGGAAGACGTAACATATTCTTCCACTGTATTAAATACGTGCATGCCATAATCGACGAGATTGTCGCGGAATTTGTGATACTCGTAACGACAGATTCGGCTTACGAATTTGAAATTACGAAACAGTGTTAATAAACGCTCTTGGATTATGTTTTTTAATCGAATACGATTGGTATTTTTAGTTTAAGTGAAAGTAGATAAGATTGGGAACTATGTATTAGGGTCTAGGAACTATGTATTATGTCTAAGGGAAAAAATTTTCAAGGTCTTTTTTTTTATAAAATTTCAAGGTCATCGATGTTTTTTTAATGGAATGATATATTTTCGTTAACATAATGTTGTAGCTGACAAAATAACGAATTCATCCATGTACTACAATATGACCTACAAATGACCTTCAGACCAGGAAAATGGAATAAATAAAATTCAATGTGTAAGATTGGAAATCTTAGGAAACATTAGAATTAGAAATCAGAGAACAAGAACGTCTTTAAACTGATCAGCAGTTGCAAACACGAATGTGTACAAACACATAGATAAAGGTATATCATAAATGTCTTCCTGTCAACACCGAATATCTGTTATTATGTTGTGTATTGCGATACATTTGAATGTATAGCAGCTCAAGTTAATATTAATTTGAATATTCAAAATATTTTGAACATTTTCCGTAACAGGAATAAACCAAATGAATCTCACACGTTGAATTTTGTGCACAATTCAGTAATGTAACATAAAACATAAAATATTGTGCATGTATCACATGTTAACAAAGCGAAAGAAACTTTCGGGACAACCTAATACAATAATTTATGTTCACAGCGCTGCTTGCAACAGGACGCCCGCTTCAAATTCGGCCGCAGCAACTCGCACTCGCACACGTCCGGTAGGGCCGCAAGAAAATCGACCAGTTCCCAGTCGGTGGAGAACACGGCTTGCCACAAATCTTTGCCCGATCTTCACACGAGCACTCGACGACGGGCGTCGCTGTCGCCGCGCGCGTCGACGAAGTCGTCCAAACCGTCGGGGCACCATCAATCCGCGAACAATTGCCCGGATTGCGAAACTAGTTCAGATTATTCGGAGCACAGTTTCAAGCGGGATGCTGTCTGTTACCGCAGGTATTTAGAGCGTTTTCACGCGTGTCTCGCTGAAATTATAATGGCCGAATGTTCAGAATATCTCGAGGCCCTCGAAGCTTTTATGGCCTAGAATTTTGCAGTTAACATTGCTCAGGAATTGCTCAGTCCTTCTGGAAATGGTTCCTGATACTTTGCCAGCAGTGGTTGGGGGTACGATCAATTGGTCGCTCAAGGACACCAATAAGAACTGGATCCAACCTGTTTACCTTCGGTTTTAAAGTGCTTATGTAGAGCTATAGCATGTCTCTGTTGTTATGCGCAACACAGATGAGATAGATACTTAGCAACTTTCCATGTATGATTAATAAAAGTTTTAGTATAACCCTTTGTACTTCTAAGGTCATATTGGCCAGAATGTATAGCTTAACAATACACAAGTAGTCAAACAGAAGAGATTAATCCTTCGCTGCAAAGGTATTAGTGTGATCTGTCTATACTTAGGATCTTCAAGGCGAGAGAGTGACAATGGGAATCGATTTTTTCCAAACGCGTGGTGTACCATTGCAAAGTTGTTCCTTTTATCTTCAAGGCAACAGAAACTCAATTACGTTTGCTCCATTCGTCTTCGAGAGATGAAAGGAAGAGAAGAGCCTTCACAATGCTGTGGTATTTACGCTGAAGGATTGAGTGAAACTAGAAATTGCGTCTTGTATGAATGATTCACATCGGGGTTTTGAGCGACTAATTGAAGTTGATTAGACTGTAGACTATAGGAAGCATGAGTACCCTTCAAATGGACACTACTCACAATCAGAAATCAAAGCAGTGTTAATTGCAATGTTCATTTTATATATATATATTTTTAAATATGAGACTACAGTCCCGCAATAAGTATTACAACCGACGACATGATTTTGTGTTTGAAAACAGATCAAAGACATATAATACATTTTGTTTATTTATTTCACTATTGATCATTATTCGTGGAAACACATTTCATGAATGGAAGACAGCTTTCTCTCATAGTATGAACATCATTCACAAGAGGACTCAACCTGTCCTTTTAACCTACTTTTGCAAGATGATTCATCACAAGCCCCTGTTGCTATGTATAAAATATTAGTAATTCGATACTTCTGGAGATGTCTTAACCTGCGATGAACCATTCTGCACAAGTTAAACGGTAGAAGACATGGTGAATCCTTTCTGTACAAGAGGCAACCTTGCAGCTCCATGCACTAGAAGCACCTTCATTTCGGTTGTAACACGGATTGCGGAACGTCGTGTATACGGTTTCTGATCATTTCAGTTCCAGACATATTAGACGCTCCTTCGGATCTGGTGGCGGTGATGCCAGCAGCGTGCTATCATCCGGTGGTCGAACGCACAAGTCTTCAGGTTCCAGCAAACTGAGCCATGGGGCAACCGCGAGGGATTCTGGCGGATCATCCGGGCACTGTACGCACCGTAGCGAACCGCCACCGATAATACAAGTACGTTTGAAACATCTGTCACGTAGTCTATAACTGGAACCGCTAGATTCATTGAACGTGTAACATTCTCTTTAGGATTGCTGGAGTCATATACGGCGCGACAGTGGTGCATCTACTCAACACTCAACGGAAAAAGAACGCTCGAGAGGCGGTAGTAGTTATGTTAACGGTACCCCGCCTTCCGTTGTGAAACATTACAGTCCTGATTCCGAAAGTAGCAACAGTCAAACGGACTATAGCCCAACATGCAATTCAAGGTATGTAAATACAGTTAGTGAACTTACAGAGAATATGAAAGACCTGGCTACATAATTAGAAATAATTCTGGCTTATTAAAATTGAATTACTGTTGGTGCCCTGAGTGAACAGTAGAAGGAGGATATAGTTAACAGATTTATAACTTGAAAGCCAGGTTGTATATCTTTGTATAGACTCTTGCTGTGGTTTTTCGTTTTGATCTTGCCGTATCCTTTCCACATCTCATAGTTCAGGCGCTTTCCTTGTCGTTGCATCCTGTATTCGTCTCTCCTTGTTGTCAGCCTTGAACAATATTGTGAATGCTCAAACAATATTGTGATTGTTCTGCCAGGTTTTCCGACGGCTGGAAAGAAGGCCGCGGTCGGCCAATTTTGAGATCAAAGTCAGATATCAGTGATCGCTACTGGCGCCAAGACAATGGTCGATCTAACAAAGTGCCTGCTCGACCTCCTCGGTCAATAACTCAACTCGAGAACTTCTTTGATCGTTTGGGTCTCGATTCAGATAATTATCAACGTATCACGGAACCAGACTCGAAGACGTCGTCGCCTGTATTTTTCGACAGCGTCAGCTCCGTCGACTCGGCGTTAGGTCTTTACTCGTGGGTTGGGAACAACCAAACAAATCAGGGCAGCCAATGGCAGAACAATAATTGTAGCGTTGGTATGAGCAACGAGGATTGCAACCAGAGGGTCAGCGATCCCCCGAGTATCGTCGAGCGCAACGCTCGAATCATCAAATGGCTCTGTCAGTGTCGAAAAGTGCAGTTTGGGTACAGTTAAACAACGAGTTTGCGAAGAGGACAATCGATACTCCAGTTTCATTAACACGCATTCAAGTCAACGAATGTAGCTCTTCATCTTGCCAACGATATTTTTCACGCATTGCAGAAACCTATGCCTTAAGTTTTAAGTTCGTTAGTAATAGTAGTAACGTTGAAACACCTTCGTCCTGCTTCATTAAGTTACTAATGCCGCAACGAGTGGCATCTTAATTTATGATTTTCTTTTTAACTTCGGAAGACCATGTGCCATCTACTTTTATATCTTCTTATGCATTTCTTCCTATATATTTTAGTATTAAATTGTTGCTGAGAAATTTCGGCGTGACGTTCATTAGTTTTGTGAATATGTTTATGTCAAAATTTGTACATATAATCGGTAGACAGAAAAATCGTCTCGTATTTTCATACATAGGGTCGTGTAACTTTTTGTCTGATCAAACGATTTTGTTTTTTTAGCGAAAAAACATGTACTATTATATAGTGATTTTATTAAATTTACAACGAGTTTATGATACACGGGGAAAGTTACGTATACAAAATTTGAAGTTTATGGCGATGTTTTACTTGAAATGATAAATTAAATAAAATACATTAATTGTTGTCACATTTGATCGTTAAAGCTTGTTGCATAAGGTTTGTATGTTTTGGGCATTATGACAGAAATATGCCTTTTGTCTCTCCATTTTTCGAACTATACATTAAAAATTTTAATTAATATTGTCATTTAATGAATAATTCAACGTTGAATACTAACCGACCACGCGTTCCAATTTTTGCGGTCCTATAGGAATTTCGAAAGTCCAAGTTTTGTCTACAAAATAACTTGCCGTGTTTCCATTAGACTTCTAACCCTAATAGTGTTAGTTCGATTTCAGTAATATTTTTCCAGACTCTAGATAATCGTATCAATCCGTTTTCAGCTGTACTTTAAAAATACAAACACTATTGGTACAAAGCAGAACAGATGTGATTTAATGAATTTTTAAGAATTTTTCTCTGTAAAAATGTTCGCTAATGGAATTTCTATAAGGAATTTAAACAAATTTTAACGTTAATGTTTTTATATCTTATAAATCTCGTTAAGTCAATTTGTGTTCGATTATTGCAAAATTATTTTCGATTTAATAAATTTGAAATCCTTTGTAACTTTTAAATTGTGGTGTGAATTAATATTTACATGCTGCCTTGATTAATGTTTAAGAGTAATTTTACAAATTTGATGGACACGTGTAAGTGAAAATTGAATATCAAAAGGAGTTTTTTATATTATTGATATGTTATTCATTATAAGTATCTACTTTGTGCCTAAATAATTCGAAAATTTTATTTTATGAATAAATTATCTTGATTGTTTAATATATCTTTATATACGTTTAGTAGTTTATTAACAAGGTTAATTAAAATTCTATGTATTTTATAAAATTTAATATTATCGTTTAAACATTAACAGGTTACTTAAATTGGTATCTTGTATTTTAAATTGAAAAAAATCACGGAAACAATATGTCGTAGATACGAAAGCTTATAATTTATAAGATGTATTATTCATTTATTGCTTAAAACGTTTCCCGATATATTTTACCGTGCAATAATACTGATGATTCACTTAAATGTTTTTTTTTTATTTTAGGTGAAACTTACTAGATCATACCGATTGAAATAATTTATCTATTGTGTGGCAATCTATTAAAGATATATTATGACTTTGAATGTTTGTAATGGACAAATTGTTACTTATGTGATTCAAGTATTTTAACAAAAAAAAAAGATAAAAAACGATTTATGTAATATGATACAAGAAGAAGTTACTCAACTACTCTCATTTCAAGTGATATAGATGTCTTAGATAAATAGTGAGTTCGCATAGATTGTACGCGAGACATGGTAGTGCATTGCAATTAAAAGCAAAAGAGTTGGAATTACTACTTACATAGTATAGCTCGACAACTTAAACAAGGTCTACGTGGTCGTGGTCTTAGCGCAATAGATCGAAAAGTAGGAATGACACGTAGGGTCGCGTATGTATCAGGTGTCATTCGACACTAGTAAATAAGTAGAATAAGTGTTTTAGTCACTGTTAGTCATCCGATACTGCTGTAAAAGAATTAAAATTATGAAAGGATAACAAGAACGAGATATTGTATTGTTAAGGAGAATGGACTTGAAAATTTAATATCTGGAAAATTGATTGAGCTAGAAGGCTGATATTTTTCAGAATTTAAATTAAAAAAGAAAAAAAAAAAGGAATCTCAGGTTGTGAAACTAAAACTGGAATAGTACGAAAAAAGCTATCATCATGGAGCTAAAGGGTAAACTAAGTCAATAGGGACACCTGTCGTAGATGAGACTGGACAAGCATTCTTTTTCTACAAGGATTTTTTTGTAAGTTGTCGAGCTATAAAATCTTGCATTTTTCAAGCAAATGTATAGTGATGCTTGTGTCGAATACTAGATGTTTCTGTAGTTACATAACCAGTATTTATGGTAACACTTACAGTTTTTGAGAAAAATATATGGAGGGTGTAACCGAAATTATGAGGAGTGTTTTGGCAGCCAATCGTGAAGTGTTATTGCACAAAACTGAGCATAGAATACATATGTTTATAAGAAGTATTTTGCTTATAACTTTTTGAGCTATGCACTGTTTAATGTATGTATATTTAATAATGTTCGACGGTATTTAATTACGCGAGAGTCTATTTCCAAAATTTACATTTTCGCCATGTAACAAGAAATTCATAATATATTTTTACTAGTATTAGTAATTTACATCTTGATTGATAATTTAATTACGAAATGTTCGAAAATTAAATTCTAAAATCTAGTTACAAATTAGAAATGTTATTAGACCAATATTAAATACTTAATTAGACTTATTTTCAAAAAGTTTTAAGCAAAGCAACTAAAACTACAATTATACATTACTTCTTGAGAGTACAAGCACAAGGTGTGTTCTATTTCTACTCTATTAAGATTTATGACCAACAAGTTAGTTGGAAATAGCACTCGTTTCGATGTGTTTTCGATTAACCCGCATTTGAATCTTTCTTTAGGTGTTTAAAAACTTATTGTTACTCGTTATGGTAGAAATATACATTCCATTTCTTTAACATGTGTAGACGAATCTCAAGAAGTAAAAGGTTAGTGTTAGTTTTCATTATTATTTTTGTTAATAGAATTATATTTTGCATCGATGACATTCGTTAATGTAATTGAAGGAATTTTTAAAACATGATGTTGCAATTTGTTTTAGGTCATAGTTTATGTGATCAATGTACTTGTACATTAGAGTTCAATGCGTTGTCTTCATTATCTTATCGACTCGAGGCTTAGACAATTTTAATATTAAGTAGATTTGTTGGAATCTATTTTGTAATTTTAAATCCAAATGTATACTTAAAATGTGGAACTTACGTATGTGCATAATTTGTGATTTATAATATTTAACATTGTTAAAGTCATACATTTTTAATTGCTTTTTTTTATAATCTAGTCACGTAGATCAAAATATGTTAAATTTCAAGATAATATTATTAAATTCCTTCTGTGTACCGCTGGTAATCTTATTTCTAACCCAAATTTCATATAATTTCGTTTCTGATTCAAGTTTCTGTTTATGTCTTATATACAAGGTCGAAGTAATAAACAACTACAACTTATCGTGAAATAATTTCAAAGTAGTCGAAATCTATATGTAAAAACATATTTAATAGATAACAATTACATTTAAAATCATCAACATACCTTCCAATACACGTGTGTCGAGACTGTGACTGGATTAACTTTCAAGTTTTTTACCTTGAATGAAACATTAGCTCGTAGAAAGAATTGCATACATATTTTAAATTACGCGGTTTTTTTTTTAATACCAGTGGCGCCATCGTTGGGAAAACGCTCAAGTTTGTAGCAAAAATAGTTTCCACCGTTTCTAAAAGATGGCACCACTAATTAAAAAGTTGAGGCTTTTTAATTGATTTAATCAAGTTCTATTTTATCGACGTTTAGGCAGGAGCGTATTTAGAAGGCGCGAAAGGCTATATATATATTATGTACACTGTCTTCACACGGCTATACTATTGTCATTATATACAGAAAAACTATATATACAGAAAAAACTATATACACTTCTTTCTAAGATTTTTACAAGAAAACGACTTTATTTCTTTCACTCTTTCTGATGATCTCTTTGCAAGCGCTATCCACCAACTGACTTTTTCCTTCGCTTTTCGGAAGAAGAGAAAGTTGGGAAGAAGGTGGCGCTATGCGTTTCCTGGATTTTTCCCGCCTTCAGGTGGAATATGTCTTTATCGAAAAGCTACGCGCTTTTCTTTGAGTCTCGTGGAAGTAGAGGTCACCACAAAGTCGATAATTATGGCTGCATTAAATAATTATTGATAAAAATGATACATTCGAAATATTAACTAGCGTATTATAGTATTATAAAGCATAAAATCGTATCAATTATTTATTTATGAAAAAGAAAGTATAATTGATTAAAATAATAGGAACTATTTTCACTACAAACTTGGGCGTTTTCCCACCGATGGCGCCACTATTTCTAAATTTGCTCAAGAGCGGCCTCGATTGCGTTTTTGCGTTTTTATTTAAAGTGTGAAAGGAAAGTTTACATCCTTATTACACTACTGTGTGATGCACTATTTTTAACATTTCTTACAACTTATATGATTTTCTTGTTCTCATCCATCCATTCCTTTATCATTCTTTATATTTTATTTTAAACTTTCATCCTTCCATACTTGGTCTCTATTTTATTTCTTCATTAAATTATTTACATTTAAAAAAACAATATTTTTCCTTTTGTTTAATATGCATCGTTCATTCTTATTTGTTCACACTCATTCTCATTCTCAGGACTGGGACGTTAGGTTTCTTGTTATACTTAATTCTAATATTATACATACTCAGTTAATATCATTTGCAAGCTGAGCCTGCCTTTATTAAAACTCAGTTAGACTTTTCATATATTCTTTGTATTTTGTAAGAGCGGCCCCGATAGACTTCATTTCTAATGGGGATGCCAGAGAGTGATGAAGAGAGTAACGTAAAAAACGAACAAATGCTAGAGGTGGTACATTAGGTGTTACAGTAAAGTTACACGTCCTCCCACCTTATAAATAAAACATACTCTTAATTTGTATGTAGATTAAAATTTGAATTCATTCAAATAAGTCTAAAATAAGAATAATTCTTATATATCTTTCAATATTTTGTTGCTAATATCGCATAAAACTATTCTATTTTTAGTACGATCGTGATTTTGTGTTCCAAGCAATTCTATTAATTTGAATTCGACGCAGATGGCGGTCGCGCACGAAACCCCCACTTCACGGCGGCCATGTTGGCGTGCGGGCGCATGCGCGACAGGGAGCTGCGCCTTTGCAGTCTGTTCTCGGTCAGTCAGTCGTACGGACGCGCGATTCACGTTTCACGCGCAGTTTCGGATGCGTGGACCGAGCGAAATCGTCGATGGTCGTACATTTAACGGTGGGATTACTGCCCGACAAAGAAACTCCGTTTCGTATGCGGTCGGCTGGTGGTGTCTCGTGGTGTGACGGTTTCTGCTAAGGTCGCGGTGGCACGTTTCGCTATGTCGCAAGTGCTTTGGCCGCAAGAGGCGCAGTGACGACTCGCCCGTGTGCCTGCCGACATCCTCGACGGCCCTGCGATGGAGTCTATCAGAAAATGGTTCTACAGGCCTAAGGTGAGTGCACGGTTCCGTTCACTCGACCGTCGTCCCCGATTTCTGTCTTTCTTTCCGCGTTCGGGATCTGTTCTTTATTTTTTTAACGTATACGTTTTCCGTCACTCTTTCACCGTATCCGTGCGTTTTCTCATCGTGTGACTTTAGCTGATCGAACGCGTGCGCTCGTTCTTTTTTCCTCGTCCCTCGGCCCGTCTCTTGGACCTGCGCGCTGTTGCCACCTGTTTCGTGAAAATTCGCACGATACCCTGAGAGGTGCTCGGGGCGACGTGTTACACCTGCGTGATATACGTGCCTCTTAACTTCATTGATAGGTGCACGGGCTGCTGGTCGTCCTTGTTTACGGTTCTACGTTTCTCTGCTTTTCGTGATTTATCGCGATCGAGTAATAACGATAATGCACGAGCATCGACCCTTTAGGCGCGATACGATTTAGATTTATAGCAGCGAACGTCTAAGTGCGACGTTTCTATTTTTTCACCTCGCTTCGTGAAATATACATTACTAATATGCGTTGTTGGTGCGTATAGAAATTGTGAGCAAAGAGGAGACACCTGTTAAGCAAGACAGTCCATGTTATTGGGTTGTCCAGAAAGTTCGTGCCAATTTTTAAGAAAAATTCAAAAGGCATATTTGAATTTTGTTATATATTTATTGAATTATATAAATAATTATATAAATTTTGTTCCACGACCTTTATACCTTTTAAGGGATGCACCCATGTTAATTGTTTTCAACCATTCCAATCTAAACAGACGTGTACCACCTATCAAAAATCGGCACGGACTTTCCAGACAAACTAATAAAAATAATTCCCATGTAAAAATATTTCACTCAAATGGTTTACGTAGCGATTGATACGAAGCGAGTGGTTAAATGAATTCCTGGAACCTTCGTGATCGTGTTTGTTGCGATACGCGGAATGAAAAAAAGTCTCGGACAATTTCGCGAGCAGGTGATAAATTGTTTTGTGTCGACTTTCGTAAAGAAACCTGCGAGTAGAAGTCGCGACCGTTGATTGATTCAACACGAACCAGACTGAGAGAACATTTTCTTAAAAAATGATGTCATTTTTTTAGAAAATTATTTTCGTACAATTTTCATCGATACATGACGTAATTAATTTAGGAGTCGGAAAGTTCAAAAATAGAAAATCTTTGATAATTTGAAGGAATCATCACCAATGAAAATTGCGAGTAACGTCCGTGGCGTGTGTGCAGCCTAATCAGCTGATACGTAATAGAGCCCGATGGTTTTTAATCAAGCACCAGCCCAGTACAACGAAGAATACCGTAAACGATCAGTTTTGATTCTGGAATACTTTTGTTTTCCCTGTCACGAAGCCGTGTAGAGTAACATTGATAAATGATGATTGTATTTGCGCGTCGCATCTGTCTTTTTATTAGAAAACTAAACGTAACAAACTCCACAGTTTCTTTTCCAGCCGGAAGTTCGTTAAGTTCATTGGGATTTCAGAAAGGAAATCGTCTTTGTTGAGCGATTTTGAATTTAATTGCTGGGTGCGCCAGGAGTTGCTCGTTATTTTCCCTTTCACGATTGGATAAGGACATTTTCTGAACTTGTTTTCTATTTACTAAGGTACTTTCTCTTTCATTGCCGATGACCTACATCTAAAGTTACACGTTTCTGGAATCCGTGACGCTTAACCTCAATGTCATATAGCTAGTTTCTAACAGAAATAGCCAAAATTCTCATCTAGATCGAAATTCCGGATAGAAGATAGTCAAGTCTCTATTTGTTCGAGAATAATTACAATCCGAATTAGAAAGTGTAATTGTATTTCGCCTTGAACGACCAGAAATTGTTTTCGGTAGCTACAATAATTCGAATGGTTGCTTGATAACGTAATTGGGGATCAAGAATGTACAAAAAATTTAATCTATCTTTATTTAATTTTTCGATGGTTAAATTTCTTGGCAATATAGAATTCCAAAGGGGGTTTTTGATTTTTATAAAATGCTAGATGTAGAAATTAATTTAGTGCCTTTTCATTCGATCGTTTCTAATTTTAGTTCAAGTAAAAATACAGTGGGTGTAGAAAGTATTCGTACACCGATCAATTTCCAAAAAACCTGTGTAAGATTGTAATTTATTAACTTATTTTTTATAAACAATGACATTTCTACATATTCTCGGGAATCTCTAGAATAGATAGATTACAAGAAAAAATAGCTATTTATGTAAGTTGCGAAATTAACAAGAAAAAAACAATTAATCGATAGAAATATTGAAGCAATAAGTATTCGCACAACTGTTTCATTTTTAAAACTTCATTAAAAAAAAAAAAGAAATTTACATTAATTTATAAGTATATAATACTTCCTTCGTGGGATTTCCTTTTGATTTTATAATTATTGTAACTCTTCTAAGCATTAAATTAACTAAATTATTAGTTATTCGAAGTGAGATCTTCAATTCCTATATTAGAGCTATTTTTAAAAGTACTTTACTGGAAATTTGATGTTTTCTAATTCGTACGGAGCAATAAACTAATGTGTTTACGTTACAAACTCTTCTGTAAATGGTTCGTCATAAGAATTGTACAAGTACTTTTACCTACTTTTCGCATTTTTTTTTATTAATTTCGTAAAATATATTAACTAGTAAATGTTGTTTGGACTATATCTATCATAGAGACTTCCGAGAATATGTAAAATATCATTGATTATAAAAAAAGAAGTTAAGAAAGTACAATTTCACAGAAAAGTCTTTTGGGAGAATTGATCGGTGTACGAATACATTGTACACCCACTGTATATTCTTACGATATTCCAAATAATAAAAGATGATATTCTTTCGATTTTACGTTACGTTCAAGCAACACGTTTCGCTAGTTAATTAATGCATCGTGCGTTTCCATTGTGTGGAATATTCGTCGTTGTCGGCCATTCCTCGCACGTATCAGGAAAAGATTTTCTATCCCTGTTCGTCGGACATTAGTCGTTAGCGGTGCGGCGCGCTTGTGAAAACACGAAAGCAAAATAGACATTCCCACTATGTATTTCGATTATGCTTCCTCATTGCTTTGATCACTGTCGCTTCGTGCGTAAATGAAATGATGCAGCACGACGAAACGTGTCGCTGGTTCTTCCCACCGAACCGATTCCCAACGATTAATATTGAATGACACATGTTGCCCGCGTCCATGGTTCCTAGATCGTTCTAGCTAACGAATTATAGCGTCCTATGACCACTCTGAATGACCTAGCACAAAGCAAACAAAATGTTTTCGTTCAGAAACATGACAGTAAAAAATGAAGATTATTTTTATCAACCTAGCGAGTTTCGCGATAATTTTAAATTTTGATTGGTCACGAATTGCAGTACGTAATTAACAGTATAAATTGTGTTTCTTTGTGCGCTGGTCACTCCGAGAAACATTTAGAAGATGTTCTGATGGAACAAATTATTTGTTGGACTTTCCCGAGAATTTTTTTTTTTTTTTTTTTTTTTTTTAAATTGAAAAAGAAGTGGTAAAAACTCGCGTTAAAGGTTAAGAATTCACGTGCTCGAGGTAAATTATTCTGATAAAAACAATTTAACATTGATGATGCAAAAGTGACGCGTTTAATTTCTTTCAATATAATTTTTACTACTCAATAATTATTCTATAGCGAGCACGTGATACCTACAGTAAGTGTAATAAGTATTCGCACAGGAACCCTTTATTTAAAATGGGTTGCTGTACGAATACTTCTTACACTGACTGTATATTCATTGTAAAAATGAATTCATGGAGATTAACACGTTGACTGCCAGAGAAATACTCTTGAAAATTTCTGCTAGGATTAAATATTATTCAGACTATTAGAGACTACGTAATCAAACATTCGTCGTGGTATTTATTTTTGTAACTTCATCAAAATACACGAATTTCATTTAAATTCATTTCCTGTGAAGCTTAACTTTCAGAATGAATTTTTTTAGTTCTTCGGTGAAAAGCACTGTCCCCCACATATGAGCGACGTGGCGATCAACGTGTTAAGTCGAGAATTTGAAAGATATTCTAATATGAAACACTGGCGTGTAAACATTTCTATTGGGTTGTTCGGAAAGTCCATGCCGATTTTTGGTGGATGGTACAGGTCTGAATATATCGAAGTGATTGAAAAGGTTGTGGAACAAAATGGCACCTATGTAATTCAATAAATATATATTAAAATTCAAACGTGTTTTTGAATTTTTCTCATAAATTGGCACGAACTTTCCGGACGATCTAATACATAAACTACAGTTATAAAAGATTGAACGTAGAACCGCAGAATTAATTTCTGCGCCTTAATACAAAGCCTCTGGTGCTCGCTTTATAACGCGGATACGTAATTTATGCAGATTTCTGCCCCGACAGTGCTGTTCATTTAAAACGTCAGCGTGCAGGAACTAGCACTTTCAAATGACCGAATACTCCCGACTAGGTTTGAGAAATCGAGTCCTTTCGTATCGAATTTCAAGCCAGAACCATTCGAGTATTTGAATAAGTCTCTCGCTTTCGGTCCGCGTCTCTTCGACCGACCACGAAAGAGTAACACACTTTTCAAGTTTACTGCGTCGAGAAAGTCAAGATTTCAGTTAGTTTACGGTGCCTTGACCATGCTTGGATCAGGTTCAACGTGTTCTCAAAACATCGGTAGACCAGAGAGTTCGCGATGACCGCCAAACGCACTTGGCTCGAGTCGGGCGACCAACGATTTAAACGTAAACACAGCTGGAGGATTCTCTATTTTTTTTTCTTTTTTTTTCTTTTTTTTCGTTGCTAGGAGGTAAACCATTTGTCTCGATCGCTGGTCGTCGCTTGTAGGAAAACTTGGAAAATGCTTATTCAAAATATTCTTGATGGAACTAACTCAATTTTTGTGACTGCAGAACTCGTCTTTTGTATTAGGTTGTCCCAAAAGTTTCTTTCGCTTTATTAATAATTAATACATGCACAATGTTTTATGTTTTATGTTACATTACTGAATTGTGCACGATTCATTTTG